CTGGCTTGGTGGTGTGTTACAGGCTGGATCTATTGGCGTTCACACACCCTGCCACCTCCTGCAACGTACTCTGCATTGCTTCCCTGGCAAATTCTGTAATGTCAAACAGATGCTTCCAGGCGTTACTCTGCTATACCCAGCAGCTTTCCTGACAAACTGTGCAGATGGCCGCAGGATTGAGTGTTGTGCTTTTTTCAGATTTATTCAAGTGACTGCATATTGGTTTTCATTAAGTTTTGATAAAAGTCTACACTTAGATGGTGGCGCCCCCTGTTTTTATTATTCTTTTGCAATACATGAGCACAGAGGATACATCCAATACTCTGATTCAGAGGAGCTGCAGCCATCAATAGGAGTGATCGTTTCACATTTGACTACTTATTAGTGGACTATCTACTGGACTATCACCTGGAATTTTCCCCTTGTCCTTAATCCCCCTCCCCCCTTTTTTTTTTCCTCCCTTTTCACTCAGTTTTTTTTGCCATACAACTACTTTATTTTCACATTATGAAATCAGACTTATGGACTGGAAAGGCAAGCTGAATGAAGAGCTTTTCATACTGGAGATGGGCCCTTAGATTTTTGTACACAGAGCTCCCATTTTTGTAACTTGCAGTGTGTTTTTAGCCCAGCAGTAGCTATATTGTTAAGTGTTTTCCCATCTGGTGCATGTAACTATGGAACATGGCTACCTGTGTCTGCCTAGCTTGCTGAGCCCTGACATTCTGTGTATGGTTTAGTCACTAAGTTTTTGCTAATATGAACTGGTCTCTAGGTTCAGAAATATTTCGCCCTCTGTACATCTCACTCTGCTCCACAGTTGTTGTTTCACAGTGTAAACTTAAACATTTACATTTGATCCAGAAAGACTGGCAATTGTTAGCAGAAGTTTTATGCAGTCTTTCTGTTCCAATGCTGCTGCATTGAAGTGGCCAAATGCCACCTCTAGATGTAGCAGCACTCTGTGCCATGATCGCAAACAAACTGGCTGATTACACTGTCTGTGTCCGGAGCCACTCAGAGTCCCTAATCGCGTGTAACCGCTTGGATGATCGGTTAAATGCAAACAAAGGCGACTCTTGTTAGCCAGTCATTGATTTGTACAGGCCGCTGGCCAAGGCTGTGTGCATGCCTGCTGGCGAGAATCTCTGATTTTTGCCAGCAGCCACCCCACATCTTCTGTCTGAAAGAGCCCTTTGTATTCTTAAAATTGTGAAAGTCTTAATATGTATTGTGTTGTATTAGGCATGGCATGAGGATTTTTTCTCTGAATGCGAAGATTTTGTTTTTGATAACCTTGGCTTCAAAAACAATTTAGTTGTCCGGCTAGTTTACACATACAATGTAAGGTCGCTCACTCACACCCGCATGTTAGGTGACGCTGAAGGTTATTCTTATATGCAGCTAGGTATCAGCCCCTAGGTGCAGGTTGCAGGGCATCACAGATGGTTCAAACCAAACAGATACTGTCCCGTATATGGATGGCGGCCTAGGCCTAAGCTTTCCATCCTCCTAGCCTTTGTACAGTCAACCTGTTCCCTGGGTGTACTCACACACTGGGTCCAAACGTATACTGTGGGACCCAGACAGCCAGGTTTGCATAAAGTAAATTCAACTCTTGCTGCAGGTATTGGCTATATAAGGCACTTTAATCGATCAGCTCATCACACAGAGGCTTCAAGATGCAGTCCAACTTCTTTTACATGTATAATTCGAGCATAACAATCCAGATAATGGCGTTAACATAGTCCAAACAATGGCTTGAGGTCAGAGATGCATAGCACCAGGCTCCTTGTGGCATCTGCTAGCTGCCTTGGTCCCTTGATGTGTTCTCCACATGGTGTCAGCTACTTCTCCCCAGAGGGGTGGACAAGGGGAAGCCCCAAACTCTTTCTCTACAGAATTCTGCCGCAATCTATCTGTTGTCCTTTCCTACAGCCCCTTAATGTAAGGCTCCACCCAACTTATATAGAGACACACAGAAAGCACTCTGCAGTGGGAGACGCAACCTTTAACCACTTGCCTCCTGTCCCCGTAGATTTACTGTGACCAGGCAGCAGCTGCAGACTCAGCAAGGTACATAAACGCTGCGGGCCTGCTTCTGCATCTGGGGACACGTATGAGCGCATTGCTGATCCGCACTACGGTTGGACACAGCTGGATTTTGTCAGCAGGTTCTGACCAATGATTTATGGTTGAGACCCACAGATTGGCTGTGTCCAATCACAGCACAGAGCCCTGTGTTTACAAACAACCTAGGGCTCTGTACACAGAGCAGTGATCAGGCTGTTTCTTTGCCCTGCACCGACTTTGGAGTCTATGGACTATGTTAGGACTTAAAACTGTTCACATCCATGAACCACACACAGGTCTTAATCTCGCATGGAGAGATTAAAGCATTAAAGTAATTGAACCTGCTTAAAAAAGAACTTTAGCCGTTCCCCCTACTTACCTTTTACTGTCTTCAAATGAAGGATTCTCACCTAGCCAGTGGATCCAGCGTTGAGCTGCTGGGATCCTCCTCTCTGCAGCCACGGCACGGGTTCAGTGCCACCATGTTGCCTGTGACAGCTGATGGCTCTTCCGAGTGCAGGTGCTGCTACTCCTGGGGGATGGGTCGAGCCTTTTAAGCCTGAAAGTACCTATAGGCAAACAAATAGGAACACAATATCGGCACTGTGATAGGGAGGGGGAGTGCCATGGGAGAGTGAAGGTCCACTTTAATTCAAAAACTTACTGGACTTTACTAAATTATTCATCAGGGATAATGCTAAATTCCAGGAAGAGATCTTTCTTCTGTAACTGGAAATTGCAAAGAATGAGCCACACTTACCCAGGCCTTAGCAACTTGCATGCAGTTTAAACCCAGTGGTGGTGAAATTGCTTTACTGTCTTCTTAAAAAGTGAGCAACGGCAGGTTATAGATACGAAAGGCAACATCGTTTGTCCATTCCGGCCTTTCCTTTTTTTCTCAGAGTTCATCTGATATACACTTTAGTGCCAAAAGTATTGGGACACCCCTCCAAATCATTGAATTCATGTATTTAAATCACTTCCATGGCCAGAGGTGTATAAAATCATGCACCTAGGCAAGAAGACTGCTTCAATAAACATTTTGTGAAAGAATAGGTTGCTCTCAGGAGCTCAGTGAATTCAAGCGTGGTACCGTGATAGGTTGCCACCTGTGCAGTAAGTCCATCTATGACCTTTCCTTGCTACTAAATATTTCATGGTCAAACGTTAGTCATATTATAACAAAGTGGAAGCAACTGGGAACAATAGCAACTCAGCCACAAAATGGTAGGCCACGTAAAATGACAGAGCGGAGTCAGTGCATGCTGAAGCACACAGTGCGCAGAAGTCACCAACTGTCCACAGAGTCAATAGTTACAGACCTCTATACTTCGTGTGGCCTTCAGATTAGCACACAACAGCGTAGAGAGATTCATGGAATGGGTTTCCATGGCCTAGCAGCTGCATCCAAGCCTTATATCACCAAGTGCAATGCAAAGTGTCAGATGCAGTGGTGTAAAGCACGCCACCATTGGACTCTAGAACAGTGGAGACGTGTTCTCTGGAGCAACCAATCATGCTTCTCTGTCTGGTAATCTGATGGACATGTCTGGGTTTGGTGGTTGCCAGGAGAACAGTACTTGCCTGACTGCATTGTGTAAAGTTTGGTGGAGGGGGATTATGGTGTGGGGTTCTTTTTCAGGGGTTGGGTTTGGCCCCTTTAGTTCCAGCAAAAGGAACTCTTAAGGCGTCAGCATACCAAGACATTTTGGACAATTTCCTGCTCCCAACTTTGTGGAAACAGTTTGGGGATGGCCCCCACCTGTTCCAACATGATTGCGCACCAGTGCACAAAGCAAGCCCATAAAGACCTGGATGAGCGACCTTGGGGTGGAGGAACTTGACTGGTCTGCACAGAGTCCGGACCTCAACCTGAAAGAACACTTTTGGGATGAAATAGACCGGAGACTGTGAGCCAGGACTTCTCATCCAAAAACAGTGCCTGACCTCACAAATGCGCTTCTGGAAGAATGGTCAAACATTCCCATGAACACACTCCTAAACCTTGTGGACAGCCTTCCCAAAAGAGTTGAAGCTGCTATAGCTGCAAAGGGTGGGACAACTCAGTATTGAACCCTATGAACTAAGACTGGAATGTCATTAAAGTTCATGTGCATGTAAAGGCAGGTGTCCCAATTCTTTTGGTAATATAGTGTATAGCCAAGGCTAAGAATGACCAAAGCTTATCTGTTGTTCACATTAGGGCCGGTTCACACTGAACAGACAGCTGCCAGAGAGTAAACTGCAGAGATTTTCCTGTCTGGCAGCTGTCCATTCTGACTGCAGTAGGGGGTGGCGTGGTGAATGATTCAGCACTGAACTTTATTTGAAGCATACAAAAGTGACACTTCATGTTGATGTCGCTGTACAACAGCACAATATTCTTCACTGCTGTACAGAGACTTGCAGTTCTTTACAGCATACTGCGATAAAATGCAGTATGTTTGTATTGTATTGCAGCTTGCTACAGGCAGCATTACAGTGTGAAAAGAACACACAGAAAACACCTATTTTCTGTGTGTCCTAGTGGTGACCAGTGTTTTAAAGTGCCAGTCAGTCACCACACATCCCTATGCCTCAGTACAAGGATTTTAAAGTTAAACTAGCATTAGTAAATAGATAAGAAAGTGTATCTCATTTACTTGTTTTAAAATGTTTTTCCATGCATACCTGGCCTAAGGAAGGGCAGATTGATTCTATGAAGTAAATGCTACATGAATCATCTGCCCTTACTCAGATGGCTGCTGACAGAAATGCTAGGGGTGTTTTTCATAGTGTTTTCTCTGAAAAATAAAGCATGGAGACATGGATAGATGAGTGAACTTGCTGTGCATATTAAAATGAATTAACGTTTGTGGTGCTCAGATGCAGTTTAGTTCCTCTTTAAGGGCTGGTTCACACCAGATGCAGTCCAGTGCATTTTATTTCTGCGTCAAAAATGCATGGATAATAGGTTATATGGGTTCCAATGGCATAGTTCACAACAGTGCAGTCAGTTCCAGTAGAGAAAAAATAGAAGTAGATGCTGCATTTTTTTTCTGCACTGACCTGTACTGGAACCAGGGGCGGACTGACCATTTGGAACCTCGGGCACTGCCCAAGGGCCTGGGGTCAGTAGGGGGCCCCATGAGATGCCCCTGGTACCTTTGTCATAGGCTTTTTTGAGTTTGGGCAAGGACACATGATCCCCTATTGCCCGGGGGCCCGCAGCAAAAGCAGCAAAACGGCCCTAAAGAAATGCTATCTCTGTCAGAAACATTGGAATTGCATCTCCTACTTTCAGTGAACAATGGTAAAGATAAAAGGCTTAAGGATCCAAATTACTACTGTCCTATTAACGACAAGCTACATCCTCTCAGAAAATGTGCTTTCAGAGAAAAGCCATTAGAAGAACACAAGGAGTTCCTAAGGAGCAATGTTATTTTCTACAGATGATTAGAGCGCTCTGCCAAAGTCTGCAAAGCTAAGTGCTAGGAATTCAACAGCAGCATGCATATATATTATCCATACACCAAGGCTCCTCTAAAAAGGACATTGTGTCCACTAAAGACTTCTCAGCCAGGTTAAAGTCAATGTAGTGAAGAGCCACGAACAGTCACCTTGAAATGTAATGTGTTACTTGGTGGGGGACTGTGGGAGAAAAACTCTTGTAAAAATATGTTTTGTTCTGGTATTTCCCCCAAGAAAACCTAAGAAAGTAGTTAAGATGTATGCTGCCTTGACCACAGCAGTCAGTCACTTGCAACTTCAGAATTGTTTGACTTGTTTAGCATAAAGGGAAATGTTTTGTCCTATACACTGCACATGTGCTGGCTCAGTGGAAATTTCAGGAAGAACAACTTATACTTCTGATTTCATTATTGCACCAATAGAAGGAACCGAGTGGATTTCTCTTCCTATACCGATCAAATGCAGTCAATTACCCCATGATAAGGATGACATTTCTACAACAGAAGAAGCACTTTGTAGCCTTTTCTAAGCCATTTAGGTGACTGCATCCCACCACTTGACAATGATGACATAATAATGATTCTCCTGGGTGGAGACATCATGAGATATGCAAGACAGTTCAGCCGTACAGTGGTTGTAAAAGTGATCTCCATGACCAAAAGACTGACCTAGGCTGGGTAATTATTGGTACCCACCAAAAATGCAAACCTCAAGCCTCAGATATATTATCCAATACAACTATCATACAGGAAAGTCAAGGCTACTTTAGGGAACCACTTTGTGTTAGCAAGCCTGCATCTTCTTTATCATCAAGATTTCACTGATATTGAGATCCAAGCTAACAGCACTGAAAGTTTAGTCAATAAACCTTGAGTCCTGTTAGTGACGAATGACCAAAATGAACTTCACAAGGACAGACCTTTCAATAGGTTCCTAGAGGGACTTTTCTATATTTGCCATCAAGGGACTATACGAGTCTATCCACCTTTTGAAGATGTGGCTTCATACTTCTAAGAACTTCTCTCTGTGTTTCAAATCTACACTGATAAATACTTATTGCAGGCCTCACCATTATAAGGATGTATGAATTTGGTTGTTTTGCATGTTCCTGCTTTCTCTGTGTTTTTTAGGTCCAGAGGAGAGTATCTGTTGTGCCTGTGTTTGTGATATGGAGTAAATTGCTCCATCCATGGAGTTAAAAGGGAAGGAAAGTGTAATGCTCTTTTACCCTTGGGAAATGTTTAGAAAACATCTTAGTAATCTTAAATGCCTTGAATAAACTATACTGGACTTCATGCTGAGTCTTCTGGGAGTTAAAGCTGCCTGTGGATTCTGCATATCAGCAAATTTTCATATATTCATACAGACTGGGACATGGGAAATATGCTCCATTGCACAAAGTAGCATTTGAACCAAACACAAAGTAAATCTTGATCCCTTACGGTATAAACTGAGAAACAGAAATAGAGAGCTGACAAAGTATTTAATATTTCCCATACTCTCTAAAAAAAAAAAAATCCTGCCTTTTAGATGCACTCAAAAGTCTTATGCCCATGCCCATGCCACTCAAAAGTCAAATGCCTCTGTTATAATATGTGTGTATGGAATTTAAGCGTAAATGCATTCTACAGCACTGGTCAGAATATTAAGAGAAGTATGGCCAAAGTCCTTTCAGTCGTTGGTTCTACTTTTAGCTGATGGCGAGCTAAAATCCAGCAGCTGGCTCAGCCTGAGCCAGCTACTCCCGTCCCCTCAACAGCACGGTGCTCCAGTGAACGCTGGAGGGGTAGAGCAGAGAGCTGGAGACTGATAGTTACCAGCTCTCTGCAGACTGAAAACAGAGAGCTGAGTGATCAGCAGTGTTTGATCGCTTAGTTCTCAGTCTTAGAGCTGGCGGGGGACAGATGAAGCATGAATCCACCTAGGTGAGTATGATTGATTGATTTCTTGATATCCTGAAGTTCTTTTAATTTATCAGAGTGGTTGGAACACATTTACGTACATATGCGCATGTTTATGCACATTTAAATGGGGGGGGGGGTCTGCCCAAAAGCTCCTCTCTGAATTCACCTTTTTAGTGTGTGTGTGTTTTTTTCCCCTGCCTGTAAATGCCTATGTGTGCATGGGCTCATAGGCTAACATAGAGGTGCTTTTACAGGCTCCATATGCCTAAGGACTAAAAAATATATAATATACCTATTAGCTAGCACAATAAATTCCAAACCGTTTTATAATATACTTTTTCAGGGGAAGTCCCTGAGAAAAACAAAGCTTCAGCGTATTGAATGGGACATTTTGAAAGTTCAGAGAAGCTAGTGGCCGTCTTTATCCCTAGTTGCTGATGCTGACATCTGGGACAAATAGAAGAACAAGAAAATCTAGGATGTGGTTATGTAATAAAACGGCTTCCTCTTGGATGCATAGCAAGGAACTGCTATAGTGGCAGAAGGGAAAATTGGTTTTCTGCAATTAGAACCTAGGCCAGGACAGTTCTAAAAACTGATTAAGTCATGGTTGCAGGCATCATGCATGAATTCAAAGGATATGAATAATCAATATAAAACGGATAAACACATTATAATATCATTGTCACAATATAAAATTTTAATCAGAACATATTGTATAATTCTGGTAATTTCACATCTTTATTATGGTAAAAATATTAAATCTCTTTTTGTTGTTTATTTTTTAAATTTTAGGTTGAGCTGGTGTTTTGGGTAGATAGATACCAAAAACACTAGATAGATAGATAGATAGAGCTCGGACCATGGCAAGGGCTAGGTTCAGGAATAAGTTTAGGCCTGTACGTTTCGATAAATGATCACTTTATTTTCTGATGGAGCTCTTCCAATGAGAAAAATCAGTCTGTAGTTTACAACTCATTCAATTGATATGCCACACACTGGGTATTGGATTTTGATTGAGAATTGAAAGATATGATTGCAAGTTATCAATAGCATCTCTGTTTTCACCTTGTAATCTCATAGGTTGATCGATTTGAAATATGATCAAATTCAGCCTAGCATGCAACGTATCATACTCCTTGATCCTTATGTTAATCACCTGTATTGTCTTCTATGACTTATTGAAGGACTATGGAATTCATTCATATGTTGGTTACTTTTGCACATTTAACATAAAAATAAGACAGATATAAGTCCATTATCTTCAGCCACTAGTAGTCCACACCCCCTCATATCTCAAGGGCACTAAACAGGTCCTAAATGCCATTAAAGACGTAGTTATCACTCCATCTACAATACTGGTTACAGCAGATGTTGAATCGCTGTACAGTAACATTAACCATGCAGATGGAATGAGAGCCGCAGAATGTTACCTAAGACAGCAGAGCCCTCTTGGGTCCAAACATATTGATTTCATTATAGAATTACTTGAATTTGCGATGGTTAAGAATTACATGTGGTTTGATGGCAAATATTATTTACAAATAAAGGGTGTGGCTATGGGGGCAAAATTCGCCCCCAGTCTTGCCAATTTATTTATGTCCTACTGGGAGGAAGAGATTATATACTCCAGGGACTGGCCAGAATTGGTCTTCTATAGGAGATACATTGACGATATTCTCTTGTTGTGGAATGGGAATACACAATCGCTAGAAAACTTTTTCACTACCTTGAATTATAATAATCACAATATCAGACTCACCTATAACTTCAGTCATGAAGAAGTTAGTTTTTTAGACCTTACCTTGGTGAGGGTAGACAATAAAATTATCACCAAAACGTTTTTCAAGTCGTCGGATCGGAATAGTTATATTCCTTTGGATAGTTGCCATCATCCCAGCTGGCTTGCTAATGTCCCTAAAGGACAATTGCTAAGACTGAGAAGAAATTGTACAAACACCTCAGATTTTCAGATACAAGCTAATATTTTGAAAGAACGTTTTTTGGAGAAGGGCTATAATGGGGTGTCCCTAGATAATACTATCACAGAAATCACCCAGATTGGTCAGGAGGAACTTTTAGGTACTAGTTCTAAGAAAATAAATGACATTTTTTGCCCGTTTATCACTACCTTCTCTGTTCAACATAGAGCGGTTAAACATATCATCAAGAAAAATTGGAATATATTAAAATCAGATCCAGTTTTGAGTAACATACTTCCTGATACACCTGAAGTAATTTTTTGGAGACCAGCCATTCTTAGAGATAAAATATCTCCTAACATTATTAACCCTCCTGTTAAATCACTCACACTGTTTAATATGAAAGGATTTTACCCCTGTAATAGGTGCATCGCCTGTAAATGCAATGGAAGTAGAAAGAAGAAAATCTATTCCTATAGTTCCAGTCAAACACACAAGACATATGAAATAGATCAATTTATAAGTTGTGACAGCAAATTTGTAGTTTATCTGCTTGAATGCCCGTGCTCCAAACAATATATTGGCCGGACCACCAGGAGGCTTAGAGACCGCCTTCGGGAACACATTGCTAACATCAGAAAAGGATATAAAGACCATTCATTATCCCTACATTACAGACGTTTCCATCATAGGGATCCCACGTCACTCAAGTTTTGTGGGGATCGACTTAGTCACCCCACATTGGAGGGGTACACATAAAGTGAGAGCAGTTTCTCAGCTGGAGACTAAACACATTTTCGAATTGGGCACTTCCCACCCAGCGGGGCTTAATATAGACTTAGATCTTAACTGCTTCATTGCTAATGGG